TCAACTTGCCTTTGTAGCTCCTTGGTGTCCTATGAATTGCTTGATAAGCTGGCTTGTTTGGCAATTGTGATCCCGACACAAAATCAATTTGGTACTCAATTCCCCGAAGAGGGGGCAATCCACTTGAAAGCTCCTGAGGGAAGACATCCTCATAGTCCTGAAAAAGAAATGAAATAGAATTGGGAAGAGAAGAATGAGATTGGTTTGTTTGTAGCACATGATCCCTATGTGTGATAAGGATCAAAGAACTTTCGGACTAAATTTCCTCCCTTATCTCATTCTAATAAGTCAACAACATTTGGGTCTTTCCTTTCAGCTTCCTCCTCTTTTCATCTTCTTGGCTCTTGGCCTCCACATGTTCCTCCTCACACTTCTTATTCTCCCTCAACTAACTCATCCTTCGATATATATCATTGACTTGAGAGGGTGACAAAGGGTGAAGGACATACTTATGATCATTCAACACAAGCGAATATTTGTTGGGTCTCCCATCATGTTTGGTTTAACGATCATGTTGCCAAGGCCTCTCGAGTAGCACATGACAAGCTTGCATTTAGACCACATCACCTAGAACTTCATCTTGATACTTCCCAATCTTGAACTTGATCGTCACTTGTCGATCTACCCTCAATTCTCCACACTCACTAAACCATTGGAGCTTGTAAGGGGTAGCATGTTTAGTGGTAGGAAGTTTCGAGAATTCCACTAACGCAGTACTAGCAACATTTGCACAACTCCCAGTATCAATGATTAAGGAACACACACTATCCTTTATGAAGCATTTGGCATGGAATAGATTCTCTCTTTGGCTCAGATCATCCATTGCTTTACTAATCATTACTCGCACTACACCATTTTAGGCCTACGGCCACCCTAGTAAAGTGTAGCCTAAACTAATAAAAAGTGTGGCCTTTGATAAAAGGCTACACTTTTGGACTTTAAGAAATGCTTTTTAGGGGGTGGCCTAAAGAAGCGTAAACTTTGACATTAGGCAACACTTTTAAATGTCGCCATCACAGCTACACTTATAAAGCGAAGCCAAAGAGGTGTAAGGGCATGCTTTGTAGTGATGCATTAGGGACAACTTTTTTTTATTATACTACACTTAAAAGCGTTGCCTTTGCTTTGTTATTGGTCACACTTAAAAAGCGTTTGCCTTTTATATCTCATCTAGAGCAACACTTATAAAGTATAACTTTTCCTATATACAAGATACCATTGGACGTCCTACAGCAACACTTTTGAAGTGTGACAATGTTGTGTAGAATTTTGTAGCCACAAT